TTAGGATACTAGTTGGCTGTGCACATGAAAATTAGAATACTTGTTGGCCAAGCACATAAAAAGTAGGGTACGAGTTGGCCATGCACATGAAAAGTAGGATAATAGTTGGCTATGCACATGAAAATTAGGATACTAGTAGGCCATGCACATTAAGAGTTGGTTACTAGTTGGCCATGCACATGAAAAATAGGATACTAGTTGGCCATGCACATGAAAAGTAGGATACTTAGTCGGCCATGCACATGAAAAGTAGGGTACTAGTTGGCCATGCACATGAAAAGTAGGTACGAGTTGGCCATGCACATGAAAAGTAGGATACTAGTTGGCCATGTACATGAAAAATACGATACTAGTTGGCCATGTACATGAAAAGTAGGATACTAGTTGGCTATGCACATGCAAATTAGGATACTAGTTGGCTATGCACATGAAAAGTAGAGTACTAATTGGCCATGCACATGAAAATTAGGATACTAGTTGGCTATGCACATGAAAAATAACATACTAGTTGGCCATGCACATGAAAAATAGGATACTAGTTGGCTATGCACATGCAAATTAGGATACTAGTTGGCCATGCATATGAAAATTAGGATACTAGTTGGCTATGCACATGAAAAGTAACATACTAGTTGGGCATGCACATGAAAATTAGGATACTAGTTGGCTATGCACATGAAAAATAGGATACTAGTTGGCCATGCACATGAAAAGTAGGGTACTAGTTGGCCATACACATGAAAAGTAGAATACTTGTTGGCCATGCAAATGAAAAATTAGTATACTAGTTGGCCATGCACATGAAAAGTAGGGTACTAGTTGGCCATGCACATGAAAAGTAGGATACTAGTTGGCCATGCACATGAAAAGTATGATACTGGTATTACCGTGTCATTAATCATCCTTGTCTACTTTCTTATTAATCCATGCGTTAGGTTGTGGATGTTGTAATGGACATTCATCTTGACCAAACCCAGGGTGACATATTAGTTTTCTTGACTGGACAAGCAGAAATAGAGAAAGCATGTGATGCTTTGTTTAAGAAATCGGAAAGACTGGATTATGAATATGATGTACATGATAGCAGTGTCAAAGCATTATTAATATTACCAGTTTATGGATCAATGCCTACTGGTAGGTGGATACATTAAGTGTTTAAGATGAAATACTTTTTAATCAATGTTTTCATATTTTGTTAACCCATGGATTAGTGAGCTTTGATGATCTTGTGATGGTAAATTACCACTCTTGGGGTTAGGATGTTAAGCTATGCATATGTAACAGTTCCTTAAGATGGCTGAAAAATGAATTTGCTATTTTAATCCTATTATTACATCATGAACATCAAATAGTACAGTATTTATTAACTTTTTTCACCACCGGTTCCCTATTTTCATCACAAATTCACAGAATGGTCCAGTTTATAGTCTGCACTTTCCTTTTGAGATAGGACAAATATGGCCAAATTTTTTGAGTAAAAACTTAAAATTGACTCAAATTTTGTCTGTTGGCTCCAAAATTAGGGTTCATTTGCAGAAATATTGAAGAATATAAACAAAAAAGTGCAGAAAAATTTGGGTGAGAAAGTCTGGTGGTGAAAAGGTTAAAGGGCGATGGTTATCGCACCATGTCTTATTTGATATGGGACTTGTAGTGACGTACAAAATGAGTGTAAATTACATCGCTTGTTGTGACAACCATGGCCATTTTAATGAATCGGACAGTGAGCAAGAGTTTAATATATATTATTTCACTTATTGAACATCAACATCACACTATTTCCTGCTTTCTGATGATCAACATGTCTTTTGCTTATAATTTTATTATACTTTAGTATATAAAATCAAAGTTGATTTGTTTGTAATCTTCATACATCTGAACCTGAGATGTACAATTACACTATCAGGTGTAAAACCTTATGGTAGCGGGACTATTATTTGCATGCTTGTTTTCATCTTCTAATTGTGACCAATGACTACAAATATACCTAGGAAAGTATATATTTTTTGAATCGCCAGACTTCATTCAAGCTTTACAAAGGCGTGTTTGTCATGCCCGTATCTGCATTCTACGTTGCATTACTTAATCAAAAGTGAAAAATTACTTTTTTTGTAAAAAAAATAATTACGCATTTATGCTGGTGATAAGAAGTTTTTTTTTTTTTCACTTTTCCTAGTTGTTCAATAGTTTGGTAAATTGAATGTGTCTGGTCAGTTTTATTCAAGCAATGCGTTTTGAAAAGTAGTGTCCTGAATTTTAATTTCACATTGCCCCCAAGTCAAACCACAACACATTGGTAAATAAACCATGAAATAGTTTGTCTGGACACAATCAAGTTCCTCTCATTGTAACCTTAGAGCTGTGAAAATTTGGTGTTAATCCGACGACAATAAGTATACGTTATTTTTCGTTAAAGACCTTGTATTTTGAAAAACATAAACTCCTAGAAAACGTCGATGAAGTCACAGCAAAGATTTCAAGCTTGTTTATCAGCACAAGCGATTTGTTTTCACATCAAGGTCTGTTTTAACGTGTTGTAGGGGCATTCAAATGTATAAGGCTATTGGAAACCAAAAAATAAAGGAATGGGGTAGCTATAATTCGATAAAATCGGCAGATGAAAACACCCAAATCAATGATTGTTTTCAGTGGCTGTGTGACCTTGTGTCTGACACATTCATATGCAAATGACTAATCTGTGAAATAAACAGAGGCGGAGACAAACAACTCAAATGTTTGGAAACACTCATTGTGTTTCAGATAGCCACTGATAACACATCCCACCATTGCTTTGTCTTGAGTTAATCTTTGAAACTTATAGGCACACAGATTAAACCTGTGTTGTTGATTTTGGAAAACACTACTGAAGCTGCCTGCTTCCCTTCAGAAAATCTACATTTTAACCAACTTACATGACATTCTAGATTATGTTGACTTTATCAGACGAAAGTTTATAGTGCATTTCATCAATTAATAAATAAATGTGAAAATTGTAATTTTCAACACAAATAATAGTCTCGCTACCTTAAATCAAAACATAATAACCTCTCTTGGATTTTATTAGTCTTATTTTGTCTTGTGTGGCATTTAAAAAGAATTACAAAAAAAATGTAGTTCTCTTCTGTGATCATTTTGAATTTTGAACCATTTTTAATCCCACGAGAGACAAGTTTTCGTGAGTCAGTGAAAATCGTGGAATTTTTTGGGTTGTACGACACAGATTGCAGTGACTTTCGTGAAATGTTGTCTTCATGAATGCCATTTAATTCCCTAGCCACTTCAAAGGGGGAGGGGATGGAAAAAAAGTAATATACTGCTTTCTGTATGCTGTAAAAATCCATCCCTTATGTTATGTTACATTCATTATGTTGAATCACTCTTTATATTCACAACCAATTGGTGAATTTGATTACCTAAGCCTTACTAGGATCGATTCTCATTGACTTTTAATTGCAATACAATTACGATTTACCAGACTCAGTTTGATTGATTAGATTTCTGCTGTGGTTACTAATCCGTCCATGCATTTGAATGAATATCTAAACTTATCAGAACCAATCGTGTTCAAATTTGAAATGCTCCCTAAATTGCATACAGTTTTGTTTCTGGAGAGCTGGGGGAAGAAGTTATATTATGTCTACGTGTGAATGGTAAACAGTCTTTCACAAACGGGCAGGACATACATAGCAAGTACATTTAAATTTTACCAATTGAACTGCTATTTCATGTTTTCCCTTGTGTGCCATTGAACTGATTGCATATATATAGGTTAATATATCAGAAGTCAGACATGCGCATTACTAATGATTTCGATCTTGAACTCTCCAGCAGACAAGGTTGATTTACACTGAAGTCCATTAAACACATGATTAACACTGACTTTATGGTTGATCGATTACCTGACTAAATACCTTGTACCAAGTATTATATCAGTTGATACATCTACTCTAGAGACAACATCGTGGTTTCAGTATAACACCTAATCAATAATCAAAGAATTCCTCCGCTTTCACATAGCTTTATATCGTTAATGGAGGAACTAAACAATTTTTATGACCATTTAAGTACTTTCATTCATGTGAGTCTTAAAGTTAAATTCCCTTTTTGTATGATATACTAAAACCTCTCACTGCTCTCTGTTTATCCAACAGAATCATCCTGAAATTTAGCAATAATGCAAACATACAAATTTGCTGCCAAACCAACTAAAATTTTCATGGTGATCATAATAATCACTGGGTTCATGTGTTCTATATAATAATACATCATGGAAATGCAACTTAAAGGTTTTTGAAATTAATAACAAATTGGTCTCTAGAAAATAAATTACTTTTAATAGAGTATTGAGAAATGTTTTTTTTAGAGATTGATTGCTATTTATGATTGAATTCTGTTAGTTTAATAGTCAGGTCATTTTATGAGCATCATAATTTAAGTTTCATAGTATGTTTCTTTCCATTGATGTATGATTTGGTGTTCGGGCAGGATACAAATCAATATCTTTTACTGTCCGGGCAGGATACTATCAATTACAGTTACTTTTTCAATCATTAAATAATATTCTTCTGCAACTTTGTTTAAATGTATATCATATCTGTGTTATCATCTTTATTCTATATATTAAGTTTTATGACATTAGGAATTTTTATTTATTCCTATACACAGAAATACAAAAGAGGATATTTTCACCAGCTGATCCTTGGGTTAGAAAATGTGTTGTAGCAACAAATATAGCTGGCACGTCTTTGACAATTGATGGTATAAGGTCAGTATGTGTATTCTACTCTTGTTTCTTTAGTCTACATTTGGAATAAGTTCGAAAATATTTGCATGTGTCTGTGTGTGTCTGTAGGTATGTAATAACCTGTATTTCTGACATGCCTGTATCGATCACATATTGCATATTCATGTCAATTCGCTTCATGATTCGATCCAAAATGACCGAATGGCGGCAATTTTTGTTATTAAAAAATCATCAAAATCAAGCATTGTTTGGTCTTGCTTGTGTATGGGCAGAATTTGTTTAAACCTTATATATACATTGCACAATATAAGGCCTTGATGCATGTTGTTTGGATTTTCTAATCAAATTAAAAATTTATTGTAATGAATGCTGTTTTCGAACCATACCTTTTTATAGAGACATTGGACATAGTGGCACCTTGATGTACATCATTTTGTTTTTAATAACTAATTGAAAATGGCCAAATGGTGGTTGTTTTGTTTTTAATGAATACAGTTCCAGAGCTATATTTCTTAGATGACTTGACAGATAATGCTTGAAACTTTAAATATATAACGTATATTTTGACACACATAATGTAGCTGGTATATTCGTTTGCGATCAGATTCTAAATGGTGGTACGGTATGGCAGCAAAAAGTCATTAAAGTCAAGCATTTCTGCCATTCCGGAACCTGATCTTGGTCTTGGTTGATTATTGTTCAAGCTTGGTACATACATACTTGAACATTGTCAGACTTTATTTGATGTTATTTTGTTTTTCAGATCAGCCATTTTGTTTTTATTAATGCTGTTCTATGTTTCTGACATGTCCTGACTGTTCGTGTTCAAACTTATATAATATATTATATAACTCACAGGGACTATGTAATGTATGCCTGTTCTGATTTGTAGGCTGAGATATACATGTTATTGATTTATTGATTGATTAATTAATTAATTTACATGATTTGAATTCATACAAGTTACACTTTCACATGTTCTTATTAATACTGATTGCAATTAAACATTTAAAACACTTCACCTCTTCACTTCAGACTCATCACCATGCATAAACTCATAATTTTGACAAAATGTTTAACCAGAAAATAACAACACAATACTGCGGCAACAAACAAATATGTAGGTTTTACTTGAAGAATTTAAAAATTGAAATCATAAATTGAAACTCCAGCTTCAAAGTGTAATGTAAAAATAAAGTCGTCACTGAACTCTTTTGTTTCTATATTTTTTTTTATACATGCAGCATATGATTCTGTTATATTACATACATGTATATTATTATTATAATAAATCATGATATTTTTTTTCATTGTTTATAGATATGTTGTTGATTGTGGATTTGTTAAACAGTTGG